GCTGCTGTTGACTTGGGCCTTCAGCTCTCTTCTTCTTTTGATTTTGTCTAGAGAGTCCTGTGAAATCCATTCATTCCTAGTGTTGTCCTTGGGTCCTAGGGTGCTCTGGCAAGTTGCATTTACTGCCTCTCTTATCTTATCCCAGTGTTCATTGACTTCACATTGATCCAGATCTTGAAGGGCTTGAAATCTGTTCTTCAGTTCCAACTTGAACTCATTCTTCTTTACTGGGTCTTTCAGAAGGCTCACTTCATACTTTAGATGATTTCCAGCGGCGACTTGTGCATATATCTGTCCTCAGAGAAATTCGCGCGCGCAACCCGCAAGTTGCGCACGCAACTTTTGGCCTCAGCGCAACTTTCGTGCAACTTTTGCCATTTTTGTGAATTCGCGAATTATAGGCAATTTTCTCCAAAAGTTGGAAAAATAATCATTTAATTTCGGTAAAAATAACCGAAATTTCCTCCCACAACTAAAAATAACGACGCGAAGGGGGACAATTCGTACCTGAAATTAGATCTACCACACTTCCTCTGCACTACGGGGTGCCCAGTGCCCAGTGCCCGTTGTGGATTGTGGACGATCGCCCGACCCGTTGCCTGTAAACAACGCGTTTGTTTTTTAGGCAAAGAGTCGGGTGGGATCGATTTGTGCCACGATAGCCACTTTGCGCCTTCAGTCTGTCGAGCAAACTGACCCGTCCCGACCTGACCTCCCCAATAGTCCTGTTTGGACTGAATCATCTTCTACTTCTTTTAGATCTAGCTAAATCTAAACTCTAGATCTAGATCTAGATATATCTATACAGTAAACTCAATCGTAAACACGATCGTCTGATTACTTAGCTTGCTTGGTTCTGTAGCACCAGGTAGATAGATGTAGTATAAAAATTTGTGAAAGACTTTAAATCTTAGGCCAGGAGGGTAGATCTAGACATGGATCGATTCATCCAGAAAACCCCAAAAGGGGTCGTTCAAATATAATCTTACGCCAGGAAAAGGCCCAAAAAAGGG